CTGTTTTCAGTGATTCTTGTTTCAACGAACCTCTTCAGCCTATTCTGTTATCGATCAAGAGGTCTTTCTGCGGGTTGTTTACTCTCTTTTGGAACCGAAGTTAACGCCTCGTTGGTTCATCGATTCTTCTAACAACCTGTTTACTGCCACTGTAACTTATTCAGCCGGGCAATGACGTCGCTGACTCTCGCTTGTGCTCTCATCCATTCATTCGTCTTCATATCCTTTCTTGCCATTGCCAAAATATACCATTCTATGCTTCGTGGCATGGTCTGCAGTCTCTGAATAGCTTTCAGGCTTAGAGTTTACGTTTCGCACCGATAGGGCAGCAATAGGAAGACACATCATCGAAAACCATTTTAAACATAAGGTCATTGGATAATATCAATTATCCAAAAAACTCAATGCCATTTGTACTCGTCTGCTAATTTCATATATTCGCTTTCCTGTTCTTCTCTGTTACAGAGACGGTCGGTCCTTTCTTGTTGTACTTACTACTCAGTCTGCACTTCATTAAGCCTAAGTTCATTGATTTAAACAAATCAGAGGGTCAATTTTTAAATATAACGAGTCGTCTTCAGGTATATTTTCAGTTGCTGGCGTCGTTCAACTGATATAAGTCAACTGAGTAAAATCTTCAGTCAGGCATAAATATGCTATGGTCTGGTTAAAGACGTTTTAAAACAAATGTACACACTGACGAAATAAATTATATGGACCTCTAACAGGGTTCAGTCGCTTCTCATCCGTTCTTCCAAACATATATCAGCAACTTATAACAACGCAGTCCGTAAGGTACCCGTCGGTATGCCGAAGAAACTGTCTTCTCGGCTGTTAGGAATGAAAAAGAACTTATCAGCCAAGACGGAATAAACTACGAAAAACACTAGGTTTTAACTTTAACTTTCTATCCATGGGGAAAGCAGCTGCCATGCTTTATAGCCGGTAATTTCAATGTGCTCATTCTATCAAACAACTCAGAATATACAAAAACAATAGTCTGATTCGTCCAATCAAATAACTTCTAGCTTTACAAACAGTGGAATGAATTCTGTTATTTACTACAACTACCGCAAATGCCCCGAGATCAAATTTGAGCATTATTTTGTTTACAAGTTAATACTGCCTAATGGCATGTATACTAGTCCTTCATTCTACTCTGGGCCATCAAAGAAAGAGTATAAAGTACACCGGAGGGCGACTCTGAATCGATCTCAGAGATCATAAGCAACATCGACTGAAATCAACCTTCCATTCACACTTCAGCTTCCTTAATTAAGGGCTCAAGCCAACATTTTCAGCCAGTCCTAAAAGAATAATCATATTACGCATGAAAAATTTTCTAGTCTGCTCATACACTCTGCCATTTGCAGGCAAATCTCGCTTGCACTGACGTTTGACCCTACCCTTCCTATCCTGGGTAATTAGCAACTTTGTCAAAGAATAGAAAACTTATCGCTAACTTTCAGTAACTAAATCGTAATTACGTAAATCAGCGTTTGTTACAGAATATTTTTAGATTAATGTAGCAGACTGCACCTACATAAATTATGTATTTGTTGTAAATGTTTCATGCTGCTGAAAATCATATTGTAGCATAGACGAATAAACTTGAAGCTTAAGAGCTAAACAGGACATAAACAGTGAAACAAACGACTTTGACTGCAAAAAGATAGCCTGAGAATATAATTAGGATCCAGTTTCTGCTTAATGTTTGAACCACTGTTCCAAGGCATTCTTGTAACCGTTCACAACTGACAGAGTAGGCCACCTTTCAAGATTCAAGCTTCTACCGTTAAACCTGAAAGGCCTACACGGATCTTGAAGTCAGAACGCAATTTTCAAGAAAGTAAATGCAGCTTCAATCATATCCCCCATTTTAACATATTTCGAAGTAGTTTAAGTAATTCACCTCCGCTTCATTATCCGTGTAGTTCGACTCTTCGATGCCCTGCTTCTTGTCTATTTCAACGGTTGCTCTGGACTTGATTAAAACGTGATCGACGTCCCGATAGTCCTGAAGATGACGATTAATTTTTGGATACCTCACAGTTCATGACCTCCCCACACCATACCTCTACAAAAGTGCTGTTCCACAGTCTCGAACGTATCCGGATGCTGGCCGTCATGTTCGATTCCAAGTAGTCGATCAAGCACCGTATGACAAAGCACTTCGCCGTCCGTTCCTTCAGATTCTTGTTGCAACTCTGAAACAGACACATATTCAATCGGCGCCTCTGCATGGACACGCCATCGGCAAACGACAACGGTCACAACAACCACTTACGATTACGACTCGCGAGTAAGTCTCACCGCTAAATTGCACCTCTTCCGGTCGAATTCGCAATGCTCTCGCCTGCCTTCCCTGGTATGGCTCGAAAGACGAACTCTGCTTGTTGGATGACGACTCGGACGTCTCCCTGCCACCGGCCTAAACAAAAACATTTCCTATCAGAAAAAAACCGTGACATTAACAATTCTACAAAGAACGTGGGGCGATACCTCTTCCATCCTTTAATAATACGTTAAAAGGAACTATTAACATCCTAGGGAAATCTAACATGTGGAACGACTAAACAAGGTAGGAGAATGT